TGAACATTTACATACTTCTGTTCATCAGTGAGATTAGCCTGTATGGTGTGAAGGTTATACTAGCTTCATAACATGAAGCGATGAGCAGTTCCTTTTTTATATTTTCTGCAAGATTGATTAATTAATCAGTTATTTAGACAGGGTCTTGCTCTGTCACCCAGGCTGGAGTGCAGTAGCACTACCACAGCTCACTGCAGCCTCGACCTCCTTAGCTCAAGTGATCCTCCCACCTCAGCCTCCCGGGTAGCTGGGACCACAGGCATGCACCACACAAAGTGCTAGGATTACAGGTATGAGCCCCAAGATTTATTTAAAAGAAAAAAAAAAACAGGAATTAACCACAGCCCTTTAGGAGGCAAAGGCAGGAGGACTGCTTGAGGCCAGGTGTTCAAGGCCAGCCTGGGCAACATAGCAAGGCCCCATCTCTACCAAAAAAAAAAAAAATCGGCCGGGCGCGGTGGCTCACGCCTGTAATCCCAGCACTTTGGGAGGCCGAGGCGGGCGGATCACAAGGTCAGGAGATCGAGACCACAGTGAAACCCCGTCTCTACTAAAAATACAAAAAATTAGCCAGGCGCGGTGGCGGGCGCCTGTAGTCCCAGCTACTCAGGAGGCTGAGGCAGGAGAATGGCGTAAACCCAGGAGGCGGAGCTTGCAGTGAGCCGAGATCGCGCCACTGCACTCCAGCCTGGGCGACAGAGCGAGACTCCGTCTCAAAAAAAAAAAAAACAAAAAAAAACAAAAAAAAAAAATCTACCAGGCATGGTGGTGTCTACCTGTGGTCCCAGCCACTCAAAAGACTGAGGCAGGAGAATCACTTGAGCTAAGGAGGTTGAGGCTGGATTGAGCCATGATCACACCACTGCACTCCAGCCTGAGTAACAGACTGAGACCCTATCTCTAAAAAAATACAATAAAATGGCCAGGTGCGGTGGCTCACGCCTGTAATCCCAGCACTTTGGGTGGCTGAGGTGGGTGGATCACCTGAGGTCAGGAGTTCGAGACCAGCCTGGCCAACATGGTGAAACCCCATCTCTTACTAAAAATACAAAAATTAGCCAGGCATGGTGGTGGGTGCCTATAGTTCCAGCTACTCCGGAGGCCGAGGCAGGAGAATGGCGTGAACCCAGGAGGCAGAGCTTGCAGTGAGCCAAGATCGCACCACTGCACTCTAGGCTGGGCAACAGAGCGAGACTCTGTCTTGAAAAAATAAATAAATAAAAAAAAATAAAACAAAAACATTAAAAAGCAGGAGTTACCTGTTCCTTCACAGTCTGATAGCAGCAAAAACCCAGTGTGTCCATGCACACACCCATCTGATGTTCTATTTTCTCTCTCAAGTCAACTTCATTAGGCTGTTTTTTTCTCAGAATTATCCACTACTGTCTCTTCATTTTCTTCTTTTGATTCTTAAAAATCTCTACAAATCTTCAAATTATAGCACCTTTTCATTTCTACTATATCTTATACTTTTTTTTTTTTTTTTCTGAGATAAGAGTCTCACTCTGTCACCCAGACTGGAGTGCAGTGGCGTGATCTTCGCTCACCTGTTCTAAAGTCACGAATGCACCAATCACCACTGCACTGTACACTTGGAAGGGGGGACTGTGGGATATGTGGATTACACCTCAACAAAGATTTCTCTTCAGTGCCTGTGCTTTTGTGTGTTTATTTATTTATTATTTATTTACTTGAGACAGGGTCTTGTCCTATTGCCCAGGCTTAAATGCAGTGAGGTGATCTCGGCTTTCTGCAAGCTCTGTCTCCCGGGTTCATGCCATTCTCCTGCCTCAGCCTCCTGAGTAGCTGGGACTACAGGTGTCCACCACCATGCCCAGCTAATTTTTGTATTTTTAGTAGAGATGGGGTTTCACCATGTTGGTCAGGCTGGTCTCGAACTCCTGATGTCAGGTGATCCTCCTGCATCAGCCTCCCAAAGTGTTGGGATTATAGGTGTGAGCCACCATGCCCGGCTACATTTTTTCCTTATCAGTCTTGCCAGAGGTTTGTCTATTTATCAGTTTTCCCAAAGAACCAGATTTTTGTCTCAGTTTATCTTTTCTTTTGCTTTGCTGTTCCTGTGTCACTAATTTTCAGTCTTTCATGTATGTTTATATAGGTCTATAAAAACTCTGAAATACATACATCGGACTGATGATAACAGTTACCTCTGAGTGGGAGATAAATGGGGATGTGCTAGTGAGGGCAGGTCATCACTTTTACTTAAATTTTTATTTTTAGTAGAGATGGGAGGGGTCTCACTTTGTTGCCCAGGCTGGTCTGGAACTTCTGGGCTCAAGTGATCCTCCCACCTTGTGTCCTCCCAGATGCTGGGATTATATGTGAGTTACTCTGCCTGGCCTTGTTTTTTTTTTTTTCTTTTTTCGATAGAGGCTCACTCTGTCTCTCATGCTGGAGTGCAGTGGTGTGATCTCAGCTCACTGCAACCTCAGCCTCCTAGGTTCAAGCTGATTCTTGTGTCTCAGCCTCCTGAGTAGCTGGGATTACAGGCGCCCGCCACCACACCTGGGTAATTTTTATATTTTTAGTGGAGATGGTGTTTTGCCATGTTGGCCAGGCTGGTCTTGAACTCCTAACTGCCCGCCTCGGTCTCCCAAAATGCTAGGATTACAGGCGCGAGCCACTGCTCCTGGCTGTCACTTTTTATTCTATAAAAAGTACTGTATTTTTTGAACTTCTGAAATGAGAATATGTCTGTGTATTTCTTGTATAACTTAAAAAGCAGCAATTAAGAGCAGGGTAACAGTGGCACTGAAGTGACCTAGTTTGGGTAACTGTAACTTAGGGAAGGACGGATATTAGAGCAGGATGACCGTGGCACTGAAACGACCTACTTTGGTCACTATAACTTAGAGAAGGACGTATATTTGCCTCTTTTCTCTGCCGCTGGGAGAGCTCTGCCGGGATCGGGAATAACCCCTTTTCCTCCCATAATCCTAAAAGTTTAGTTTTTATACTTTCTTTTCTTTTTGAATCCAGACCTATTTGCATTGCAGTTTCGTTCAACTTAATCTCATAATGAATATCGGAAATGACGTCTCATGGACTGAGAATGCATCTGTCCATCACACCAGCACGGCGGGGCCTGCCCCTGCCCTCTGGGTTGGCACTGAGCCCTCCGACCTGAGCTCTCACCTGCTGCTGCTTGGGGTCCACCCCCCACAAAGACGGAACTCGTGTGTGCTCCCCGATGTTTCCCACACCCCTGAACAGTGCCCAGAACACGATAGGTTTCCAACAAAAATGTGGTGAAAAGAATTGCACGGCCCACGGATGGGAAGATTCGCCGTGATTTGCTCTCGGACATCACTGAAGCAGGCTGTGAGCCTTTGTCCACGTCCTGCCAATCCCACATCTGGATGTCTCCTAACTCCGTCTGCCTCTGGTTTCACCATTCCACCTGGTCCAGGCGTTCACCGAACTGAGCTGCGACGGTCGGCATCCTTTCCGCCCCGCGAGGCTCTGCCTCCTGCTGCTGCTGCGCCGGGTCCGTGGCCTCCAGCCGGGCGAACGGCTCTTCCCGCTCCCGGGAGCTCTGCGGGGCTCCCTTCCTCTGGGGTGGCTCCGCCAGGCTGGTCTCTGGCATCTCCATTTCTGTGGCCTTGGGTTGAGGGTGGCACTGATTCCTCCCTGCCCTTAACGATGCACTGAGCTTCGCCCCGTCCGTGAGGACACGCACTACGGTCTGTGAGTCACACAGCCAGGATCTGAACCAGGCTCGGCCACGTACAGCGGTGGTCAGGCCAGCACGCAAACTCTCCCGGCCTTCGGTGTCCTCACCCTGGAAATGGGGTGGGTGACTGTCTGTGTGGTGTGGCTGTCCTGAGGACGAGCACAGCTCAGCGGGAACCTGACACACGCCGTGCGCTCACCAGGCAGGAGCTGGAGCCACACACCCCCACCAGGCTCCAAACACTGGGGACTGGCCCGGCTGCCCCTCACGTCTCCTCTGCCCTACAGGATGAACACGCAGCCCCTTGGCCCAGCATCACAGCCAGGCTGGGGAAGGGCAGAGTGGTCTCAGCCCCAGGTCCTGCCTGTCCGACGGCTCCTCAACTTCTCTTCCCAAGTGACCTGAGCCTGCAGCCCATCGTCTGCACTGGCCTTCACTATAACCCATGGATAACTTACTAATAAATACATTTTAATTATTAAATAATTAAACATGAATACAGAGAAAAGTGGAAAGGTTTGAAAAGAAGGTTTTCACCTTAAAAAGTAAGTACTTACTTAAAAAGTAACTATGGATATACATAGCACAATCGTGCTCTTGCTAGTATTCACAAACTCGGTAACAAATACACACATGAAACCAAGACAGCCTCTCAGAGATTCTGTGATCAATACAAGCTACACTGTGGCCCTCAACGGACACAGAAGTTACCAACTGAGGAGGGGGTGAGCCAACCACGCAGGCCCAGCTGCCCGCAAGGGTCAAGACAGCACAGAAGACCCTCTGTTGGCCCAGGAGCAAGCAGCCGCTGCAGCCGGGACCTGGCCACTTACATGGGTTTCTCCTCTTCGACTCAATTTCAAAGACATTTTTTTACTGCAAAAAGATTTTTGGCCGGGCGCGGTGGCTCATGCCTGTAATTCCAGCACTTTGGGAGGCCGAGGCGGGCGGATCACCTGGGGTCAGGAGTTTGAGACCAGCCTGACCAACACGGTGAAACCCCGTCTCTACTAAAAATACAAAATTAGCCGGGCATGGTGGCACACACCTGTAATCCCAGCTACTTGGGAGGCTGAGGCAGGAGAATCACTTGAACCCAGGGGCAGAGGTTCCAGTCAGCCAAGATCACGCCACTGCACTCTAACCTGGGCGTCAGAGCGAGACTCTGTCTCAAAAAAAAAGATTTTAACCTCAACTCCCAAACTATTCAACCATGTTTTAATTAAATCTTGATTTCTCAGCGGAATCACTTTGGCAGCACCAGAAACAGGACAGTTCAGGCATACCGCAGGAATTTTCAACATACCAGGTAGTATCCTTCCAACAAGAGCATCTAACAGCCAGAACGATTCTTCTTCATTATTCGTTATAAGAATCAGATATCCTGCTATAAAATTCATTCCCTGAAATTAGAAAAAGGAGAAACAGAAATTCACATTGAGTTTTAAGCCTCCATACGATTCTGCAATCATTCAGCTACTAACTACCCAGTTTCCATTTCTCCTGCTTTTCCCTAAAACCTGCATAATTCCAGAATGATCCTTTAGTAGAACTCTAGAGTCACTGAATACCTACCATCTAGTAATGTGTTTAGTCAAGCTTACGTGAAGAAAAGTAAAAGCAAAGGGAAACACTTTAAAGAAATCCTGAATACTAAAATCAAAGACTCATCCACTAATGGTAACCTTGTGATAAAAAAACATAACTTACCTTTGGTTTCTAAAGAAATTACTATATATCAACAACATGAAACTTTCTACCAGAGAGAAAACTATACCAATGACCACATTTTATAAAAACTGTAAGGAACATGTTCTGACACGCGGGTGTTGGGAGAATTTCGTGGTGGAGACCCTTTCGGGAAATCCATGCGCACACCTGCCAAAGGGGTGCTGCCTCAAACATCACATATGTGACCCTCTCCATCGAGGGCAGCCCCAGACCCTGTGGCTGAGAGCGGACCCGGGGGGACCTCTGTGGCCGAGAGCGGACCCGGGGGGACCTCTGTGGCCGAGAGCGGACCCGGGGGGACCTCTGTGGCCGAGAGCGGACCCGGGGGGACCTCTGTGGCCGAGAGCGGACCCGGGGGGACCTCTGTGGCCGAGAGCGGACCCGGGGGGACCTCTGTGGCCGAGAGCGGACCCGGGGGGACCTCTGTGGCTGAGAGCGGACCCGGGGGGACCTCTGTGGCCGAGAGCGGACCCCTTCGAGCGGACAGTGCTACTGGTCCTGGGAGAGGGTGACAATGTGGACAGTGGACACATGGAAATGCAGGTGGGTGAGCATCATGGAGAAAAAGCAGAACATGGGGGGCGGTGGTCGCCTGAAGCACTTGGGGGGAGGGGGATCATGAGTAGGAGATCGGACATGGCACACGGGAAAATCTATAAAAAAAAAAAAACAGCCGAGGTGGTGGGCCTGTAGTCCAGTTATCGGAGCTGGCAGGAGATGCGTGAACCCGGAGGCGAGCTGCAGGACTGAGATCCGGCCACGCACCCCTGGGACAGAGCGAGACGTCAAAAAAAAAAGCAGAACATGGCCGGGCGCGGTGGGGGATCCCAGCACTGTGAGAGGTAGAGGCAGGAGGATCACCTGAGCTCAGGAGTTCAAGACCAGGCTGGGCAACATGGCAAGACCCTGATCTCTACAAAACATACAAGAATCACCCGGGTGTGGTGGTGCACCTGTGGTCGCAGTCACTCAGGAGGCCAAGGTGAAGAACTGCTCGAGCACAGGAGGTTGAGGCTCAGTGAGCTGAGATCACGCTACTGCACTCCAGCCTGGGTGACAAAGCGAGACCCTGTGTGCACGGTGTAACTCTACACGTCCGCTATGCATGGAACTGTGTCCCCCGCCCCAAAATTCAGCTGTTGAAGTCCTAACCCCTAGTACCTCAGATTGGGACCTTGTTTGGGAAAAGGACTGTTGCAGATGTCATTACGGATGGGGTCATGGAGGAGTTGGTGGGCCCTAATCCAAGCCTGGTGTCCTTGTCTTAGGCGGAGCTTTAGACACAGGCACGCACAGGAGAACGCACGTGGAGATGGAGGCAGAGACTGGAGTAGTGATGCTGCCCACTGAGGGGCACCCAGGACTGCCAGGAACCAGCAGAGTCAGAGCGAGGCCTGGCACAGACCCTTTGTCACAGCCTCAGAAACAACCCACCGTGAAGACATCATGACCTCAGACCCCGCAGACGCCGCGACCTCAGATGCACAGCCTCCAGAGCCGAGAGAGAATTCGTTTCCACTGTTTACCAGGCTGTGGCACAGCCTCTGGAGCTGAGAGAATTCATTTCCACTGTTTACCAGGCTGTGGTGTTTCCCTAGGGGTCCACAGCAAGCTAACAGGTGCACATCTACGCACACACATGTGCATATGTGCCTGTAGGTTCCAAATGCCAGCTGAGCTCTGGCATTCTGTTAGTATGTAACATTGTGTCTGTGGTTTGTTTTTTAAGAATAGAGATAGGGTCTTGGGGCCAGGCCCAGTGGCTCACGCCTATAATCCCAGCGCTTTGGGAGGCCGAGGCAGGCGGATCACAAGGTCAGTAGATCAAGACCATCCTGGCTAACACAGTGAAACCCCATCTCTACTAAAAATACAAAAAATTAGCCGGGCGCGGTGGCGGGCGCCTGTAGTCCCAGCTACTCGGGAGGCTGAGGCAGGAGAATGGGGTGAACCCGGGAGGCGGAGCTTGCAGTGAGCCGAGATTGCGCCGCTGCACTCCAGCCTGGGCGACAGAGCGAGACTCTGCCTCAAAAAAAAAAAAAAAAAAAAAAGAATAGAGATGGGGTCTTGCTAGATTGCCCAGGCTTGTCTTGAACTCTTAGCCTCAAGCAAGCAATCCTCCTGCCTTGACCTCCCAAAGCGCATGATTATAGGAAAGGGCCACCCAGGTGGGTGGTGTTTTTTGGTTTGTTTCTTGTTTTTTTTGAGACAGGGTGTTGCTCTGTTGCCCAGGCTGGAGTGGTGCAATCATGGCTCATGGCAGGCTTGACCTCCCAGGCCCAAATGCCCCTCTCACCTCAGCCCCTTGCGTAGCTGGGACCACAGGCGTGTGCCACCACACCTGGCTAATTTTTTAACATATTTTGTAGAGATGGGGTCTTGCCACCTTGCCCAGGCTGGTGTTTGCATTTTATTAAAGTTGTTTTTAAAACGCGAAGGAGCAGAAAACAGAATGACGTAGAGGGTTTCTTGCCCACTCTACCTCAACTCCAGAAGGCCAAATTCTTGCTCCTGGACAGTCATAAAAGCAAGGAATGGCAGCAATTCTGTCTGCAAAGGAGGGACTCTCCCAGCTTCACCTGACACGGCACTGCCTGCCCGCCACAGAGCCGCACACGCGCAGCATGTGGAGCAGCTGGTGAGGACGGCGCGGTCCTGTGGCTCTGCTGCTGGCCTGTCTCAGGGCATTCCTCATGCACACGTCCACCCTTTCTCCTTGGGAGCATTCACTCTGCCAGGGGCCAGGCCCAGGGCTGTCCAGGCAGGGGCTCCACACTCCCACAAACGTTCGCTCAAACTGCATTTTCCGGTTGGTGCACGCCTGGCTCCTGGCTCCTACAGGAAGTTTCTGGTGGCATCACTGGGCCTGCTGGGTTCGAACCATCGCGACAATGTCCTTCCCCGTCCTCCTAGAAACATTTAAGCCAGCCACAACCCCTAGAAACCTGTGAAGCACATGACCTGAAATGCCAGGAAAGCACTCTCCAATCCTGGTGGCAGTCATGGGCTCCAGGCTCCCAGCCACTGGGACTCACAGGCAGTCACAGGCCATGTGTGCACCTGGAAACCATCGGGGACGCCAGCCCTGCCCAGATGCCTGCCCTGCCCTCGGCGAGCTCAGAGACTGGAACAGCACCACCGGCGAAAGGCCCAGGCAGGGCACACACAGGCTGGGAGACTGCACGGCTGCTGGCTGCCCCCAGTTCCGGCCTGTTCGCTCCACCAGTTACTAAGAGCAATGCCCTTAATATGCACCCAGCTAGGTGGCCTCCAGGAGGCGCAAGGACTCTCCCAACCGCACCTGCTGGTTCACACCACGGAGCCAGCCGGGGGATGACAGTGTAGACAGCAGACACTCTGGGAGTGGCCTCAGAGGACAATACGCAGCTCACAGCACACGCATCCCATAGCACACGCACCCCACAGCACGTGCACCCAACCGCACACATATCCCATAGCACACATATCCCATAGCACACATGCCCCATAGTACACAAGCCTTCCAGCATACACACAACACAGCGCACACACTGCACAGCATACGTACCCCACAGCACACATGCCCCATAGTTCACATATCCCACAGCACACACGCCCCATGGCATACCACATGCACCCCACAGCACACACACCCCACAGCACACATATCCCACAGCACACGCACCCCACATACCCCACAGCACATGCACCTCACAGCACACGCACCCGACAGCACATGCACTCCACAGCACATATATCCCACAGTACATATATCCCACAGCACAAGCACCCCACAGCACACGCACCCCACAGCACATATATCCCACAGGACATGCACCCCACAGCACATATATCCCATAGCACAATATCCCACAGCACATGCACCCCACAGCACACGCACCCCACAGCACATATATCCCACAGGACATGCACCCCACAGCACATATATCCCACAGGACACGCACCCCACGGCACATATATCCCATAGCACACGCACCCCACAGCACATATCCCACAGCACATATATCCCACAGCACACACACCCCACAGCACACGCACCCCACAGCACGTATATCCAACAGCACACACACCCCACAGCACACGCGCCCCACAGCACATATATCCCACAGCACACGCACCCGACAGCACATGCACCCCACAGCACATATATCCCACAGCACATATATCCCACAGCACACACACCCCACAGCACATATATCCCACAGGACACGCACCCCACAGCACATATATCCCACAGCACACGCACCCCACAGCACATGCACCCGACAGCACACACACTCCACAGCACACGCACCCGACAGCACACACACCCCACAGCACACGCACCCCACAGCACACGCACCCCACAGCACACGCACCCCACAGCACACGCACCCCACAGCACACGCCCCGCCCACCCCCACAGCACACGCACCCCACAGCACACGCACCCCACAGCACATATCCCACAGCACACGCACCCCACAGCACATATCCCACAGCACATATATCCCACAGCACATGCACCCCACAGCACACGCACCCCACAGCACACGTACCCCACAGCACACACACCCCATAGCACACGCACCCCACAGCACATATCCCACAGCACATATATCCCACAGCACACGCACCCCACAGCACATATATCCCACAGCACACGCACCCCACAGCACACGCACCCCACAGCACATATCCCACAGCACATATCCCATAGCACACGCATCCCACAGCACATATATCCCACAGGACATATATCCCATAGCACATATATCCCATAGCACACACACCCCACAGCACACGCATCCCACAGCACATATCCCACAGCACATATATCCCACAGCACATGCACCCCACAGCACATGCACCCCACACCCCACAGCACATACCCACAGCACATCATAGCCACCCCACAGCACATGCACCCACAGCACACGTACCCCACAGCACATATACCCCACAGCACATATATCCCATAGCACACATATCCCACAGCACATGCACCCGACAGCACATGCACCCCACAGCACACGCACCCCACAGCACATATCCCACAACACACGCACCCCACAGCACATATCCCACAGCACATATATCCCACAGCACACGCACCCCACAGCACACGTACCCCACAGCACACACACCCCATAGCACACGCACCCCACAGCACATATCCCACAACACACGCACCCCACAGCACATATCCCACAGCACATATATCCCACAGCACACGCACCCCACAGCACATGCACCTCACAGCACATATATCCCATAGCACATATATCCCACAGCACACACACCCCACAGCACACGCACCCCACAGCATATATATCCCACAGCACACGCACCCCACAGCATATATATCCCATAGCACACATATCCCACAGCACATATATCCCACAGCACACGCACCCCACAGCACATATATCCCACAGCACACGCACCCCACAGCACATATATCCCACAGCACACGTACCCCACAGCATATATATCCCATAGCACACATATCCCACAGCACATATATCCCACAGCACACACACCCCACAGCACATATATCCCACAGCACACGCACCCCACAGCACATATAACCCACAGCATATATATCCCATAGCACACATATCCCACAGCACATATATCCCACAGCACACACACCCCACAGCACATATATCCCACAGCACACGCACCCCACAGCACATATATCCCACAGCACACGCACCCCACAGCACATATATCCCACAGCACACGCACCCCACAGCATATATATCCCATAGCACACATATCCCACAGCACATATATCCCACAGCACACACACCCCACAGCACATATATCCCACAGCACACGCACCCCACAGCACACGCACCCCACAGCACACGCACCCCACAGCACATATATCCCACAGCACACGCACCCCACAGCATATATATCCCATAGCACACATATCCCACAGCACATATATCCCACAGCACATATATCCCACAGCACACGCACCCCACAGCACATATATCCCACAGCACACGTGCCCCACAGCACACGCGCCCCACAGTACACATTTCCCACAGCACACACATGCCCCACAGTACACACCCCACAGCACACGCACCCCACAACACAGCACACATGTGCCCAACACATGCCCCATAGCACACGCCCCACAGCACACATTTCCCACAGCACACACACACCCCACAGCACACACACCCCACAGCACTCGCCCTCTGTGTCCCGTGCTCACTGATTCTCCCCCCGCTGCCTGAGGCCGAAACAAGGTTGTCAGCTGCTGCTCCCTGTCCTCCCTGCTGGCAAACAGTGTCCGAACCTCGATGGGGCGTCAGGATGTGGAATTCATGAACATTGTTGACAGAGACATGAAGCCGTCACTGCCGAGCCCGCAGCTGTGGACAGACCCGTCCTCACAGCCACCTCATGCTTGCGTCGGAGGGTCCCGAGGCTCACCTGGCAGTAGCCCACTCCCTGGTTATGGTGCCCATATGCCAGCAGCACATTGTACAGGGTCTTCTGCAGGCAGGGCTCCGTGGTCTTCCGAAACTTCACATTGTCGGGGAAGGTCCGGTTCAGGTCTGCGGGAAATTCAGAAGGAATCACCCACGGGTTTCTGCTCCACAAGCCTCCCACCCCTCCAGCTGCCCCGAGGGTGGCCACCTGGCTTCCACCTGGGACTTAGGGACTGGTTTTCACCCTGGCCGCACAGCAGACTCAACACAGCCAGAGCGACAGGCTCACTGGGCCAGGAAGGAGGGGGTGATCCTGGACTCGGGGTGGAGGGGGGCCCCAACCGTCCTTCCCGCAGAGTCAGGGACGACAGAGCAACCCCAGAGCTGGCGGCCAGGCCATGGCGCTCCTTCCTCGATGCCCGTCTCCTCCCGGCCCCCAGCACAGGCCTCCTGCACCTCGGACCTTGCGCATAGTGGAGGCGGCTCTGCCTCGAGGACCCAGGGTGACAGGTGGAGAGAAATGCCCAGGCCTCCTGCACCTCGGACCTTGTGCACAGTGGAGGCAGCTCTGCCTCGAGGACCCAGGGTGACAGGTGGAGAGAAATGCCCACAGAACTTTGGGACACTCTCCTAATTCCGAAGATGCAAAACAGCAGGAGACAGAATAAACTGAGACTCCTCAGAGATAAAGGACACGGCTGAGAGCTGAGAGCTGAGAACTGAATAAACCCCGCATTGTCAGCTTGTGTGTGCAGGAGGCATCCCTGCCGGCCTCTTCCTTCCTCGGCACCAACCCCCCCACTGTCCAGCCCAGGCATCTCTTGGCAGGACAGTGGCCCTGGACAAGCTGTCTAGTGCCGGGGGATCCGGATACCACATGGGTCCCCGAGACTAACCAAGCCTCACGCTGGCCCAGTGCCAGGCCTCACTGCAGCTGACCTCCACGTTAACCCCGGACGCAAGCCAGGCAGGAAGGATAATGCTGGCTCGACAACTCCACTGGTTTCTGCTCCCACTGGCCCTACCTCCGTTAGAGGTGTTTACCAGGCACCCCACGCGGTCACCAGCGGACGGCCGGTTCCAAGGCTGACTCACAGCAGCCCCCGCCAGCCGTGATGCTGAGATGTGCACACACCCCACTCTGGAGGAACCCAACCGCCTCTGGTCTCTCCATAACGGCTGCAAAATACTGTGAGTCTGTTTCCAACCTCTGGCCCCAGGCCTTGTCTTTGCTTACAAAAAACTAGATTTGGGCGAACATTAGTTCAGTGCCTCAGAGCACATTATTTCTCATTGTGTGTTTTCTTACAAAAGAGCCTTTTTTTTTTTTTAATGGAATTCTAAACATTCCAAAAACTGGAATCAGTCAAGGGGAAGTTAGTATTTTTGCTATTTCAGACTAGAGTGACTAGCTGTGTTCATTTCTATGTAATATTTTTATTGAGTTTTTCCATATATATATATTTTTTGACATAGGGTCTCACTCTGTCACCCAGGCTGGAGTGCAGTGGTGCAATCACAGCTCACTGCATCCTCGACCTCCAGGGCTCAAGTGATCCTCCCACCTCAGCCTCCTGAGTAGCTGAGACTACAGGCACACACCACCATGCCTGGGGTAATTTACGTATTGTTTTGTAGAGACGGAGTTTTGCCATGTTGGCCAGGCTGGTCTTGAACTCCTGAGCTCAAATAATCTGCCTGCCTCAGCTTCCCGAAGTGCTGGGATTACAGGCGTGAGCCACCATGCTAAGTGTCTTGAGATGTTTTGATAATATCCTGTGGGAAAGGAGATGGCTCCATCTCCACTGTGGAGATGGAAGTGCAGGGGAGCTTTCTGTCTGCACTGCGTGGCCTGGCATTGGCTCTGTGGGGCTGGACCATCCACTGCATGGCTCCTGAAAGATAACTGACCAGTGCCTCCAATTACTAAGCACAGAACTGCCATGGATCCAGCAGCCCCACACTCTGGGTAGGAGCCCACAGCTGACAGCAGGGACCCAGCAGAATCCACATACCCAGGCTCACGGCCGTGCCACCCACAACAGCCATGCGGCAGGAGAGCCCAGGGGTCCACTGACAGGTGGATAAATGAACAAAATGTTGTCTGCCCATGCGTGGAATATTATTCACTCAAAGGAGGAGGAAATTCTCACACGAGATGCAGCACAGAGGATCCGTGAGGACTGAGGCGAGGGTAAGGACCCCAGCCGCACAGGACACAGCCCACAGGACTCCTCTTACGTGACCCCGGAGTTGCCAAAGCACAGAGGCAAGTGCACTGCGGGCTGTCAGGGGCTGGGCAAGGACACGGGGGTGGTGCTTGACAATGGGGACAGAGCTTCAGCTTGGGAAAATGAAATGGTAAATTTTATATTAGGCATATTTTACCATAATTAAAAAAAAGATTCAGCCAGGCGAGTGGCTCACTCCTGTAACTCCAGCACTTTGGGAGGTGAAGGAGGGAGGATCCTCAGAGCCCAGGAGTTCAAAACCAAAACCCCATCTCTGCAAAAAAATAAAAATTAAAAAAATGAGCCAGGTGTGGTGGTGCACACCTGTGGTCCTGATCATTTCCAGCTACGTGGGAGGCTGAGGCAGGAGGATCACTTGAGCCTGGTAGGTAGAAGCTGCAGTAAGCACTCACTGTGACTGCACGGCTACACTCCAGTCTGAGCAACAGAGTGACACCTGTCTCAAAAAAAAAAAAAATCATCCAAAAAACCACAAAACAGAGCCTTTAAACTCATTTTTCAGACAGCAGTGCTCTGTTGTACTATGCACCCCCTCCCCACTGCACCCAAGCTCTCCTCTTCCCAACCTGAATCAGCGTTTCTGGCCGCCAGGCTGTCCATCTGCTTGGAGACCTTTGGCGGCAAACACTCTGCGGTCAGGATGCAGCCTCTCCCCGGCAGCCCCAGCCCCCAGCCTGGGTAGCCCCCTCCCCATTGGCTCAGCCCTGTGGACAGGAGACCCCCAGGAAGGGTAGCAGGATGCACCGTGTCCTCACCCTCCCAAGTCTTTCTAACCTCACAGCACTTTAAAGCCACTGGGTTTTTTTAAATTAAGTATATTGTGTTTAAGTGTGTATTTCTCAAAAACTGTTAAAATCAGAAGGGCAGATGTACTTTCTAAAAATCTAATTATTCAATTTAGATTAACCAATTTTTCTTTTTTTTTTTCTTTTTTTTGAGATGGAGTTTCACCCTTGTTGCCCAGGCTGGAGTGCAATGGTGCGATCCCAGCTCACCGCAACCTCCACCTCCCGGGTTCAAGCGATTCTCCTGCCTCAGCTCCCGAGTAGCTGGGATTACAGACATGCACCACCATGCCCGGCTGTTTTTGAATTTTTAGTAGAGGGGGGTTTCTCCATGTTGGCCAGGCTGGTCTCGAACTCCTATTCTCAGGTGGATCTGCCTTCCTCGGCCTCTCAAAGTGCTGGGATTACAGGCATGAGCCACCGCACCCGGCCTTAGGTTAATCAATTTTGTTAGCATTCTGAACTTCTGAGAGCCAGGGACCCTATGGCTATGTGATTACTGAGAAAATCAGAGGAGAAGGGAGTCCAGCAATTATGACAGACACAAAAAAGGAAGCCCTGGTGTGCAGCCTCATGAACACGGCTGCGTACGACGGCCACGCGACCAGTGCCCGGCGCAAAGCCCGCCGGCAACAGAGGCTGCCTCTCACTGTCCTGCAGGTCTTCATGGAGCATGTCTGCTCCTTCGTGACCATTTTCGTATTAGCCAGCTAGGCACGTGAATATTTGCTGAGTGAATTACGATCATTGTTCTCCCCTTGCAAAGGCTTCAGTTTTTATTCTTTCATGGAGGAAGACGTGACTTTAAGTTAAAACCAGCAGACGCACCACTCACTCCTGGACACTGAGACTAGACACTGGGTGGAAACCAGTTCCTTCTGGCCCCCGGGCCCTGTGCCAGAGCCTGATCCCCGCTGCCTCACCTGTCCTGATGGCGTCCTCCAGCCTGGGGTTTCTGTCTCCCTGGAGAAGCCGGTGATAGTAGCCGGGATTCTGGTCCATCTGAGCCTGGGCCCCACTCAGCGCCATCCAGACGCGGGCACGGTGCTCCAACGGGACCCCCTTCCGGACATAGCGCTTCACTGAAGGCCGAGAGGACAGACAGCGTGTGAGCTGGACCAGAGGTCTGCAGGGCCCACACGTTCCTGCCACACTTTCCGCTCTCACCACTTACCTTCTTAAATCGAGTATTAGAGATACCCAGAACTTCATCCATCTCCACCAAAACTGGTACATATACTCCTTCAAAAATTCTGCTCTCCTCCCCCTCTCAACAGAGCACAAATCAGACTGGCTACAGAACCACCCCCACCCCCACTTCGCCATCCCATGCAGGTGGTCAGGAAACAGAGCCACGGTCAGACGGCTGCCCCGGAAAGCTCCCTAAGAGCAGTGCAGAGGAGCAGCAAAGGGGCAAAACAGTGAGAGGGCAAGCTGAGAACAAGGACGTTGGTTGGGCTCAGCTGTGAGCACCTCAGGTGGGACGCCGCACCTGGGAGACCACGGTTTTAGTGGCAGACGTCACTGTCCTCCTTGTGCAGTTATCTCTATACATTGAAAGCTACTCCATTTCGTGAGGATATTTTAATTGACAATAAAAATGTGAAAAAGTAATTAGTAATTTTCTAAAATTAGTATTTTCTAATAAACATATAGGGACAGAAGCCAAAAGCCATGAGCTATCTTCATTAGTAATACTGAGTAATTTCTTAGGCAGATGGAAAAGATATGCATGACTAACATCCGAATTAATTATGTTAAGTCCAAAGTTGCGACACTGTACTCTTAAGCTACAAAACAGTTAATTTTCAAAGCAAATATTTAAAGTTTTGCTGTTTTCCTTTGATACTACACTATACATATTTTACTTTTTTCGAGACAGAGTCTTGTTCTGTCGCTCAGGCTGGAGCGCAGTGGTGCAATCTCAGCTCACTGCAACCTCTGCCTCCCGGGTTCAAGCAATTCTCCTGCCTCAGCCTCCCAAGTAGCTGGGATTACAGGCACGCACCACCATGCCCAGCTAATTTTTGTATTCTTAGTAGAGACAGGATTTCACCATGTTGGCCAGGATGGTCTCGAACTCTTGACCTTGTGATCCACCCCCCTCGGCCTCCCAAAGTGCTGAGATTATAGGCGTGAGCCACCGTGCCCGGCCCTGCACATATTTGAAAAGAAACCATTATTTTAAAAGAAACCATACTTTAGAAAAGAAGGCATATGCAATTTGCGAAATTCTATAAGCTGCCATAAAAAGAAAAAAATCTGAGGCACCAGCTGTATTTAGCAGATAAAAACTTACAATAACTTCATAGGCTACAGTCAAGAAAAGGACTATAGGGTAAAACTTTATGAGCTCCAATTCCAAGGTGATCACAGTGTATGATCCTCTGGACACGGGCAGATGATTGTGTGCTAGGTGATTACTGAGAAAATCAGGCTCTGGAAGGACAGGCCCTTGTCTGTCCACTGGGCCTCCCACTCCTGGAATGGAACCTGGGAGGCAATAATAGCTCACTAAATACGTGACGAATGATACAAGGGCAAGGAGGGAAGACCCAGAGGAGAGAGAAAACAGACACTAATGCCATCCACTGAAAGCCAAAGAATCCCTCTTAAGGGCCGGGCGTGGTGGCTCACGCCTGGAATCCCAGCACTTTGGGAGGCTGAGGTGGGTGGATCACGAGGTCAAGAGATCGAGACCATCCTGGCCAACATGGTGAAACCCCATCCTCTAATAAAAATACAAAAATTAGATGGGCGTGGTGGCGCACATCTGTAGTCCCAGCACTTTGGGAGGCCAAGGTGGGTAGATCACCTGAGGTCAAGAGATCAAGACCATCCTGGTCAACATGGTGAAACCCTATCTCTACTAAAAATACCAGAGTTAGCTGGGTGTGGTAGCTCATGCCTGTAATCCCAGCACTTTGGGAAGCGGAGGCGGGTAGATCACAAGGTCAAGAGATCGAGATCACCCTGGCCAACGTGGTGAAACCCCATCTCTACTAAAAATAAAAAAATTAGCTGGGCGTGCTGGCTTGTGTCTGTAGTCCTAGCTACTCGGGAGGCTGAGGCAGGAGAATCGCCTGAATGTGGCAGGCAGAGGTTGCTGTGAGCCAAGATCATGCCACTGCACTCCAGCCTGGTGACAGAGTGACACTCTGTCTCAAAAAAAAAAAAAAAAAAAAAGAATCCCTCATAAGAAACCCTCTTTTCTGGTTTAGAAACATATTTGGAGGATCAAGTTCAGGCAAGAACATCTCAGTACCCTTGGTTTATGGTTTATTCGCACTGCTTACAGGAACAAGAAAAACATGTTTTGCTTTATTTTAAAAATTCTACCAAAGACACCAATAATTCAGCCTGACTTTTCCTCCAAGTTAGTACAATTCGTACTAAGGTTTGCTGTAGGTCTCATGACTCTTAGAGGGCAGCTTGACCAGGAATGCTCTGAATGAGTATTTGGTCATTCTGTGCTAAACAACAGCAGGAGAGGGCGAGTCCCAGCACAGGCAGAGACTGTTCTGAGAGGGACAGAAGCAGAAAGAAGAGGCCATGCAAAAACCAGTGGTACTTCTACAAACTAATAATGAACAACTGGAAATCGTATATTTAAAATTGGGGCCTGGCATGGTGGTTCATGCCTGTAATCCCAGCACTTTGGGAGGCCGAGGCAGGTGGATCACCTGAGGTATGGAGTTCAAGACCAGCCTGGTCAACATGGCAAAACCCCATCTCTACTAAAAAAAATACAAAAATTAGCCAGGCATGGTGGCACGCACCTGTAATCCCAGCTACTTGGGAGGCTGAGGCAGGAGAATCTCTTGAACCTGGGAGGCGGAGGTTGCAGTGAGCTGAGATTTTACCACTGCACTCCAGCCTGGGAGACACAGCAAGACTCCATCTCAAAAAAATAAATACATAAAAAAAAATTAAATTGGCATCATTTACAATAGCAACAAAAAAAGAGAAATACTTAGGTAAAAATCTAACGAAATATTTGCAGGATCCAAATGCTGAATACTGCAAAAGAAATCAAATAAGACTGAAATAAACTAATAGATACACCATGTTCACAGATGGCAAGGCTCAATATTAAGATGTCAATTCTGGCCGGGCGCAGTGGCTCACACCTGTAATCCCAGCACTTTGGGAGGCTGAGGCGGGTGGATCACCAGGTCAGGAGATCGAGACCATCCTGGCTAACACGGTGAAACCCCGTCTCTACTAAAAATACAAAAAAATTAGCCGGGCATGGTGGCGGGTTCCTGTAGTCCCAGCTACTTGGGAGGCTGAGGCAGGAGAATGGTGGGAACCCGGGAGGCGGAGTTTGCAGTGAGCTGAGATCGCGCCACTGCACTCCAGCCCGGGTGACAGAGCAAGACTCCATCTCAAAAAAAAAAAAGTCATTTCTTCCAAAGTTGATCTACAGATTCCTATATACACCTCCTTATCACTGTTCCAGGAAAAAAATTTTTTGTGGACAATGACAAGCTGATTCTAAACTTTATATGCAAAGTGAAAAGAACCGAAACAATTTTGAAGATGAAGTTGGAGGAGACATATTACCTGATTTTATGCTTTACTATAAACCTGCAGTAAGATAGACAATGTGGTACTGGAGAAAAGTTAAGACAAATGGAATAATGGGATATAAAAAGGAATCCAGAAAGAGACCCACACAAACAGAACCACTTGCTTTTTGATAAAAGTGCAAAGGAAATTTAATGCAGACAGAATAGTCCATCTACAAAAGAACGACTAAAATAATGTTGGTAAAATAATGTTGGTGTTTACCAACAATATGAAGAGCTGGCAAGACTGTGGAGCAATTAGAAGACTCACACATTTGTGGTGGGAATGCCAAATTTTACTGCCATGTTGGAAAGACGGTTTGTAATTTCTTAATAGTTAGTTAAACACGCACTTATCATATGACCCAGCGATCCCAAAGTGTTCAGTCAAGATAAATGAAAACTAGTTCACACAAAAACCTGTAGGTGAATGTTATAATGTTGGCTTTACACATTCCAAATGTCTTCAGCTGATGAAGGGATTTTTAAAAATTGTAGTACATCCACAAAATGAAGTACCTCAGCAATAAAATGGAATGAACTATTGACACATACAAAGTCCTGGATGGATCTCCAATGCATCAAATGAAAGAAACCAGACTCAAAGGCTACAATCTGTATGATTCCACGGACGACACCATGGAAATGGCTGAACTACAGGAATGGGGAAGAGGTCAATGATGTGGGCAGTGGGCCGACTTCAAAGGACAGGATTGTTGAAGGTGACAGAATCTTGATTGTGGTGATGATTGCCTAGCCGTGTGTTTGTCCAAATTCACAGAACCATATACTGGTAAGAGTGAATTTTACTGTAAATTGCTGTTTGATAGGCCAGGTGCAGTGGCTCATGCCTGTAATCCCAGGAGACTCCATCTCTATAAAAAAAATCTTAAAAATTAGCTGGACATGGTGGTGCACACCTGTAGTCCCAGCTACTCTGGAGGCTGAGGCGGGAGGACTGCTTGTCTAGGCTGCAGTGAGCTATGATCGTCCCACTGCCCTCCAGCTTGGGTGACAAAGCAAGACCCTGACCCAAATAATAACAATAATATCAAGGTTGTATTTAAGGGAAAGGTCAAAATGGTTAAATGCACCAGCTCTGGAGTCAGACACTGTGCTTCCCTATGACTTGCAGGTTCCAGACCCTGAGCGTGCCTCGGTTTCCTCATCTGTAAGGTGAACAGAAGGCACCAAGCCTGCGCCCGAGGTCCCCCAGCAGCTCTGGCCGTTGGAGCAACACCAGAAGCTTCACAGAACAAAGAATTCTGGGATTTTTTGATAAGTTTGTTATCTGGATTTACACTGTTTCTTTATAGAAGAATGAAAACCGTTTACTTGTCCTCACAGACTGACACTTTCCCAGGGGCAGGGCTAACCCACAGAGCGTTACTAATGTTTGCAGAAGTATAACATATCAATTCAAAACAGTTGGGAAATTTTTAAAAAGAAGCTACATCCAGAGAACTGACATCCATCTGTCTACCCGGACAAAGTTAGGCAAATCCCCAGTTTTTCGGTGTATCTTTGAAAATATGTTTTCTCAATTTAACTTAGGTGGTGTTAATATTCTAAGCCACCAGGAAGGAGGTCTCCAAGAAGCCAATGGCCCTGAAGCTGCTTCCCTGCAGACCTCCCTTCTCGAGATGGAGAATGAAATAGGAATTCAACAGGACTAAGTTTGCTGAATTTAGTCTTTCTAGGGAGGAAGAGGAAGTTGTCTTCCTAAGGGCTCCTGGTGGATATTTGCTACGGAAAAAGGAAAATACAGTATTTATTGTACCCACCAAGAGTGTGATCAGGCAGAATACGTTATAACTGTCCCTTAAGACATGTGGATTGCTGAGATTGGTAGATGACTGTGTTCCTGGAGACTTTAACATGGGAAGTGCAGATGAAAATCCTCCAAAAACAGAAGAACTTTACCACCATCAGAATACCTGGCAGGAAGAAGTTGTATTCCCATTTTTGGAATAACTTTCCCACTCCTGTTTTATGCCCGACCCTCCGCACTTGAGGCTCTGCCAGTGCCCATGAGCACCCTGACGGTCACATCGGAACCCAGGCCAGGAGGGACACACGCGACCACAGACTCCTGGAGCCTCCCACCGGAGTCACCAGCATCCCCACTCACTGCAGAGCAGGCCCACAGCCCTGTGGCTCCCACCCCGCACGCTGAGGCTCATAGGGGACCAAAGAGATGTATTTGCTCACAGACCCATTCATGCCAGTGATGCTACCATAATTACACAGTCCAGTTAACATTACATAAATCAGCCCAGCTTGGTGGCTCACGCCTGTCTTCCCAGCACTTTGGGAGGCTGAGGTGGGTGGATCACTGGAGCTCAGGAGTTTGAGGCCAGCCTGGCCAACAAGGCAAAACCCGTCTCTACTAAAAACACAACAATTAGAGGGGTGTGGTGGCAGGTGCCTGTAATCCCAGTTACTCAGGAGGCTGAGGCAGGAGAATTGCTTGAACCTGGGAGGCAGAGGTTGCGGTGAGCCGAGATTGCGCCACTGCCCTCCAGCCTGGCTGACAGAGCTAGACTTTGTCTCAAAAAAAAAAAAAAAAAAAATTAGATTAAAAAAAAATAAAGCAAAAAGAAGAAGGTTGTTACTTCAATAAAAACAAAGTGAAGTTTTTAGAAAGAGTTGATAGAGACCAACGCTAAAAAAAAAAAAAAAAAAAAAAAAGGCAAAAACAAACTGTTGAATTACGTGTAAAATAACTGCAAAGGATTGGGGAAAAGAATAAAAATCTGGAGGATTCTGCATCCGGATTGCTTTTTTCCTTTTCCCTGCTCTTCCCAGAACCCCCTCCCAAATCCATATTGGAAAATGGGGGCAACGCACTGAGTGGTTCCCTAAAAAGGAAAATAGGGGACCCAAGTTAGCAGCCCCTACTCAAAGAAAAGGAGAGCAAGAGGACAGACCCAAACGACCAAGGCAAAGACAGAAGAATGAATGTGCAGTTGTGTTTTCTATAAAAACAAAAAGTTTATGCACAACCGTACATCTTTCAGATGTTCTGCTGTAACCAACCTCCAGGTCACAGCCACAGGACTTCCCACGGACTTCCCTGCTCTTAAAGCAAACTGCAGAACCAAGCGTGCACTTCTGTTCCTGAGGGGGATGGAAGGACAGTCCCCTTCGGTCATCTCTACAGGAGATGGGGGCCAGGGGTGGGAGAGAACTCCCTGTTGCACTTTGTAGCCCTTAGTATGATTAAAGTGTTTACCATGTACATAAATTATGCTTTTTAAGTTCACATGTCTTATATACTTTTATCTTACTTTTTAAAATTAAAAGACCAGTTAACTTTTAAGAATAAATCAGGCGCAGTGGCTCACACCTGTATTCCCAGCACTTTGGGAGGCCAAGGTGGGCGGATCACTTGAGGTCAGGAGTTCGAGACCGGCCTGGCCAACATGGTGAAACCCGTCTCTACTAAAAATACAAAAATTAGCCTGGCGTGATGGTAGGTGCCTGTAATCCCGCTACTTGGGAGGCTGAGGCAGGGAAACCGCTTGAATCCAGGAGGCACAGGTTGGTTGCAGTGAGCTGAAATCACACCACTGCATTCCAGCCTGGGAGATAGAGTGAGACTCTGTCTCAAAAATAAATAAATAGAAAAGAAAAAATCAAAAGGAAAAATAAAGACACACGTTCCACTGGAAACATGTGAATATGCAGAGGCCACAGGGATGGGACATGATGCATTTGTGGGAAGCATATAGGATATTAGCTTCCATCTCCATAAAAAATTTAAAAATGGGGGTGCCAAGTGTAACACTTGGGGCGGACGGGGGATCAAGCAGGAATCGAGACATCTAACATAAAGTTTAAAAATAAAAAAATGCCGGGCGCGGTGGCTCAAGCCTGTAATCCCAGCACTTTGGGAGGCCGAGACGGGCGGATCACGAGGTCAGGAGATCGAGACCATCCTGGCTAACACGGTGAAACCCCGTCTCTACTAAAAAAAAAAAAGCGGCGAGGGGGGGCCTGTATCCAGCTAGGGAGCTGAGACAGGAATGGCGGGAAGGGAGCGAGCGCAGATGAGATCGGCCACGACTCCAGTGGCGAAGAGAACCTAAACAAAAAAAAAAAAAAAAATACAAAAAACTAGCCGGGCGCGGTGGCGGGCGCCTGTAGTCCCAGCTACTCGGGAGGCTGAGGCAGGAGAATGGCGTGAACCCGGGAGGCGGAGCTTGCAGTGAGCTGAGATCCGGCCACTGCACTCCAGCCTGGGCGGCAGAGCGAGACTCCGTCTCAAAAAAAAAATAAAATAAAATAAAAATAAAAAAATAAAAAAATAAATAAAATAAAAAATTTAAAAATTAGCCTGGAGTGGTGGCGGCGCCAGTGGTCCCAGCTACGTGGGAGGCTGAGCGGGGAGGATGGCTGGAGCCCAGGAGGTCAAGGCTACAGTGAGTGGTGATTGTGCCACTGCACTCAGAGGGATACCCTGTCTCAAATAAATAAATAAAAGCAAAAATTGATCTTATCACCCCCTGCCTGGAAAACCTTTAACAGTTGGCTTCTCTGTGCCTGGCCGTGGTTACCACACACCTCCGACCCTCCGCCCAGGTGCAGGACCCCGGCTTCATCTCTGCCCCTCCCCACCAGGTCCTACAGCCTGGAGCACACAGCTCATCCCTTGAAGCTCAGCTGCCATTCACATCCCCCTTCTCAGGAAGCCCCCAGGACTCCCCTTTGACCCCACTCATCTGAGTTCCTAGCTCCAGGGCACACTCCTACCAAGCCCTCACCCCAGGCAGGCACTTCATTCATTCACTGAACACACAGGGAAGTCGCCTGGCACTGTCGCAGGTTCTGAGGACTGAGCAGTGAATGAAATATCCGGGACAGGGAGGAAGGGTTTTTGACTCCAGCAGAGGCTGTGCTGGGAAAGGCAGAGGTGAGGCGGTGCCCTCCGCACAGGGAAGGCTGGGGAGCTCCTGAGGAGGGGGCCCTGCAGCTAACCCCGAGGCGGGTGGGCGGGCGGCCAGGCCAGTACTCACCGCAGCAGGAGGAGGCCTGGGGTCGCGGGGGAGCGGCAGGTGGAGCAGGACCCTGTGGGTCCCGTCACAAGGATGGAGTCTTGCTCTGTCGCCCAGGCTGGAGTGCAATGGCGCAGTCTCTACTCACTGCAACCTCCGCCTCCCAGGTTCAAGTGCTTCTCCTGCCTCAGCCTCCGGAGTAGCTGGGATTACAGGCATGCGCCACCACGCCCGGCTAGTTTTGTAATTTTAGTAGAGGCGGGGTTTCACCATGTTGGTCAGGCCGGACTCAAACTCCTGACCTCAGGTGATCCGCCCACCTCGGCTTCCTAAAGTGCTGGGATTACAGGCGTGAGCCACCGCAGCCGGCATGGATCGAGTTTTGATCCATCCCGATCTGGCTCCCTTCTGGGAGGGACGGGTCTCCTTCGCGTCCGACCAGCCGGCCCATCCCAAAGCAGGAAAACAGGTCCCTGCGGCTGCCCTAGCTCGGAGCCGCAGCCAAGTCCCGACCTGCCCCGGAAGGTTCCTCCCCCTCCCTCCGCTCCCGGAGGCCGAACTTTGCCCCGCCCGTCCCAGCCCGACCCACCTGCGCCCTCGAGACCCACCTGCGCCGCCGGGACCCACCTGCGCCCTCGAGACCCACCTGCGCCGCCGGGACCCACCTGCGCCCTCGAGACCCACCTGCGCCCCCGGGACCCACCTGCGCCGCCGGGACCCACCTGCGCCCTCGAGACCCACCTGCGCCCTCGAGACCCACCTGCGCCGCCGCGACCCACCTGCGCCGCCGGGACCCACCTGTCCGGCTCCTGGGGACGCTCCCGCCCTGCAGCAGCCGGGACCACTTGATCGCCCTGCGGGTGAGCGTGACCAGGTAGCTGGAGAAAAACTTCTCGTAGGCGGCGTCGTCGAAGTCCTCAGGCCGCTCGAATCCGTACGGGTCGATCCTGCAACACGGAGAGAAGGAGGCCGGCGTCCCCGAAGTTTCCTCTGGGGGGTCGGGGGCCCGCTTGGGGACCGCAGCCGCCGGGGACGCCCGCACCCCGCGCCACCCACCTGGGGACCCGCGAGCGCTCGGCGGGCTCCATGTGGGGAGGGAGGCGCGCACCGAGCGAGGCCAGCGGGTCCCAGGTTCGCCTCCCGGCTCCTGGGCGCTCAAGTCCTTCCGGCGGGACCGCGGGCGCGGGGGGGCGGGGCTGGGGCGGGGAGGGGGAGGGGAGAGAGGACGGGCAGGAGGGGGTGAGGGGCGGGGGAGGACCGGGGGAGGGGCGGGCGACGGAGGGCGGGGAATGGGCGGAGGGTGGGGGGGAGTGGGCGGAGGGTGGGGGGAACGGGCGGAGAGGGGGGAACGGGCGAGGAGGGGGGAATGGGTGGCGTAGGGGGGGTGAGGGTGGGGGTGGGGGTGGGGGCGGGGCGGGGCCTGCTCCTGGGGCCTCGGAGGCCGCGGCGTCCCGGGCGGGGTCGGGCAGAAGGGCAGAGTCGGGGCGCCCCCCGCAGATCCCCGCGGCCTGGACCCGGGTGAGAAGAGCTGCTTCTGCGATTCCTTCAATCCTCAGTGCCTGGCGGATCCGACTCTGACACCTGACTCCTATTTGTATTTTATTTTTTATTTTCTCCGCTGCATTTTAAGGCCGAGACCAACACACAAATGAGAGGCCCCCAGGGGCGCCCGCCCGTTCCTGCCCCCCCAAACCAGGGCCGGGGTCCCCCCACCGGCGAGCCAGGCCTGGGAGAATCCGGGCAGCGCTGGTTCCGAACGGCTTCTTCTCGGTCCGCGCTCCATGACATTGTCCTGAGATTTCAGCTGCTTTTGGTGTCCGGGAGGCCCCGGAAATTTGCCAGAACTGCGGATTTTGAATTTTGCTCTGGCGACGTGGCAAAGGGGAGACCCCAGAAGTGAGGTGCTGGGGCGACCTCGCCCTGGGTCCCCCGGGGGTCTGGAGCGGGGGCTTCTCCGACACGCCTCTCCCCGCCTGTGATTTAGGCCCAGGGCGCCCTGGACAGGCCCCAGGAGGAGCGGCCGTTCCCGGACTCCAGACGCGCTTTCCCGGGAGAAGCAGCCCGACCTTGTCTGGGTGAGGCGAGGATCACAGGCTCAGCGTCCCCTGCGGGTCCGTCAGGGCCTTTGGGAACCAACTTTGGGACCTTCCCATCGGTGTTTCCGGAATGTTCCATGCGAGTGCCACCCAGGAGCCTGGACAGCAGCGTGTGGAACGGACCGGTCCCTAAGTGTAGACTCCTGCCTCTGCCTTTCACCCTTCTCCAGCCCCTGCATGACTGTGGGGGTTCAGTGCTCGGCAGAGCAGAGCCCCCGACACGGCTCCTCCGTTCCTAGTCTGCTGGTTCTGGGAACTCGCCACGCTTTCAGCCCAGCTCCGCAGCACTGGCCTTTTTGGTAACACGCGGCGTCCTTCCTTTCAAAGATCGCACAGCCCCTACCCTACGCTCTCACCTCCTTGGGATGTTTAGACCCAAACCAGGAGTCAGGGCCATAGCCTCCTGCCCCTCGGCCTACGGGTGCCCCACAACCCAGGACTGACAGGTGGGCGTCCGTCCCCAGGGTCTTCGAACCGTCGTCTGGGCTCCTCTCTGCCTAAGTCGGTGACCCGCTGAACCCCTCTCCAGCTGTAACTGAAGCCGGTTTCCTACATCGCGTCCCTCGTGCTTTCTGGAGCAATGGACACAGTCCTGCTCCCCACTTCCCAGCACCCGGAGTCCTGCAGCCCAGACAGCCCCACACCGCCCAGCTCCTGTTCCAACCCCAGGCCTGGAAGCCTCACGGTCCCCCTTTTCCCTCATTCCTGCCCTCTGGCCATGGAGATGGGGTTCTAACCTCCTTTCTCCACCACTGCCGTGGAGAGCAGTGTGGCAGGCGGCACAGACCGGGGGCCGCTGGCTCCCAAGCCTGAGTGTGATGGCGGGACCGCCACCAAGTGTATTTTTGGGCCAGATGTAGGAGACTGTGGGAGCAGGTCAGATAAGAGCAGCGCCCTCCAGGAAGAGTGGAGAGGAGAGATACGGAGAGGCCGGAGCCCCAGGCTTGTGCAGGGTGGGCAGCCAGACCCAGGCAGCTAGAAAGGTCCCCCACTCCAGACCAGGCCTGGCCAGGCCAAGCCCCAACCTGGGACCCGACTGGGAGACAGCCTGGGCAGGGGTTCAGATGCAGCTTTCTCACATCTGCTGCCTAGTCAATGGGCCCCCCACCCTCCTCCCCACACCCTGCTGCTCTGCTCCACACAAGAAAACCGCGTTTGGCCTGACTCTTGAGACCTCACAGGTCTGACACACTTGCAATCATCCTTTCAGAAACAGTATCAAGTCTAGATTTTTTTTTTTTTTTTTTTTTTTTTTTTTTTTTTTAAGACGGAGTCTCACTCTGTTGCCCAGGCTGGAGTGCAGTAGTGTGATCTCGGCTCACTGCAAGCTCCAGCCTCCCGGGTTCAGGCCTTCTCCTGCTTCAGCCTCCCGAGTAGCTGGGACTACAGGCACCTGCAACCATGCCCGGCTAATTTTTTGTGTTTTTGGTAGAGACGGGGTTTCACCACGTTAGCCCAGATGGTCTCGATCTCCTGACCTCATGATCTACCTGCCTCGCCTCCCAAAGTGCTGGGATTACAGGCGTGAGCCACTGCGCCCAGCCAAGTCTAGATTTTTTTAAACGCTCTCAATTTATTTATTTATTGCTCCTGGCAACCACTCTTCTACTTTCTGCTTCTATGCATTGGAGATTTGCTTTTTTTTTTTTTTTTTTTTCCCCCTCTGGTGAGGGGGTGGTTTTCGACGGCGTCTCATTCTGTCACCCAGGCTGGAGTGCAGTGGTGTGATCTTGGCTCACTGCAGCCTGGAACTACCGGGCTCAAGTGGTCCTTCTATCTCAGCCTCCTGAGTAGCTAGGACCACAGGCACGTGCCACCACACCTGGCTAATTTTTTAGTTATTATAGAGATAGGGGTCTTGCTATGTTGCCCAGGTGGTGCCAAATTCCTGGGCTCAAGCCATCCTCCCGCCCTGGCCTCCCGAAGCACTGGGGTTACCGGCATTGAAATGAGACCACCACTTCTGCTGTCCTTCCCAGCTTCTCCCCCACCTCCCCTTTTCCCTAGTTTATAAGACAGGAAAAAAGAGAGAAAGCAAAAAGTTGGAAAGAAACAGAAGTAAGATAAATAGCCAGATGACCTTGGTGCTACCGCCCGGCCCTGGTGGTTAAAATAATAATAATATTAATAATGTTAACCCCTGACCAAAACTACTTGTGTCATCTGTAAATTCCAGACATTGTATGAGAAAGCACTGTAAAACTTCTTGTTCTGTTAGCTGATGCATGTAGCCCCCAGTCACATTCCTCATGCTTGCTTGATCTATTATGACATTTTCATGTGGACCCCTTAGAATTGCAAGCCCTTAAAAGGGCTAGGAATTTCTTTTTTGGGGAGCATGACTCTTAAGACGCGAATCTGCCGATGCTCCAGGCTGAATAAACCACTTCTTTCTTTAACCTGGTGTCTGAGGAGTTTTGTCTGTGGCTTGTCCTGCTACATTTCTTGATTCCCTGACCAGGAATTGAACCTGGGTCGCAGCAGTGAGCACGCCAAATCCTAACCACTAGACCACCTGGGAAACTTAGAACTTTGTGTGAAATAGATTGGCCAGCATTAGAAGTGGGTTGGCCATCAGAAGGAAGCCTGAACAGGCCCCTTGTTTCTAAGTTGTGGTACAAGGTAACTGGTAAATCAGGACACTCAGACCGATTCCCATACAAAGACACTTGGTTACAGCTGGTGCTAGACCCCCCACAGTGGCTAAGAGGGCAGGCGGCAGCAGTGCTAGTAGCAGAGGACAGAGAGCCAAGGAAGGATCCCACTCCACCCACCGAGGGAAATCAACTCCTGAAGTTCTGTTCGACCCAACACCAGGAGATCCATTGCAGGAGATGGAACTAGTGATCCCAGGGGTGCCCTCCCCTTACCAGGAAGAGAGGCTCCCCACTCTTGAGCCCACAGTGCTTGCGCCTCCATAAGACAAACATATCCCTAGGCCATCCAGAGTAGACAGGGAGAAGGTGAAGCCTCGGGAGAAACCCCTCCCTTGGCAGCTCGTTTACGACCCAGAACTGGGGTACAAATGCCCCTGAGAGAGCAGCGGAATACTGGGATAGATGAGGACAGGTGCATGGTGGAGAGGCGTGTTTTGTGTACCAGCCCTTCACCTCTGCCGACCTTCTCAACTGGAAAAGCAATACCCCGTCCTATACTGAAAAGCCACAAGCTCTAATTGATTTGCTCCAAACTATTATCCAGACCCATATCCCCACCTGGGCTGATTGCCACCAGCTGCTCATGTTCCTCTCTAACACGGCTGAAAGGTGGAGAGTGCTCCAAGCAGCAACTAAGTGGCTGGAGGAACATGCACCAGCTGATTACTGAAACCCCCGAGAGTATGTGAGGACCCAGTTCCCAGGAACCGACCCCGGTGGGACCCAGATTAAAGAGAGGACATGCAAAGGCTGAACCGCGACAGGGAAGCTCTCCTGGGAGGATTAAAGAGGGAGCCCAGAAGGCCACAAGGGTTAACAAGGTCTCTGAGGTCATTCAGGGAAAAGAAGAAAGTCCAGCACAATTCTATGAGAGACTGTGTGAGGCCTATCGTTTGTATACTCCCTTCCATCCCGATAGCCCTGAAAATCAGCGCATGATTAACACGGCTTTAGTAGTCAAAGCGCAGAAGACATTAGAAGAAATCTGCAGAAACACGCTGGGTTTGCAGGGATGAATATATCACAGTTATTAGAAATAGCTCACCAGGTGTTTGTAAACAGGGATGCAGTTTGCCGTAAGGAAAACCGCAGAGAGTGAACGTCAGGCCCGGCAAAATGCTGACCTGCTAGCTGCAGCAACCAGAGGGGTCCCCCCAAAGAGGCAAGGGAAGGGGGCGCCCAGGAAAGAAATTCAGCCTGGCTGTCAGAGTCTGCAGTGTAACCAATGTGCTTATTGTAAAGAAATAGCATATTGAAGAACAAATGCCCTCAGCTAAAAGGAAAACAAGGAGACTCAGAGCAGGAGGCCCCAGACAAGGAGGAAGGGGCCCTGCTCAACCTGGCAGAAGGGTTGTTGGACTGAGGGGGACCGGGCTCAAGTGCCCCCAAAGAGCCTACGGTCCGGATGACAGTTGGGGGTGAAGACATCGATTTTCTTGTAGATACCGGTGCTG